ACACACACAAGACAGAAGCAACCTGCCAACGCAGAACCGGGCAACGAGCGATGACAGGAAATACGACGGCCGCCCACAACGACGTCATGACTTTCTGCTTGCACGGAGGAAGCCATATCTGGAAGTTGCACCTTCCCAACACCTCTGGAGCCCTATGCATGGCGCATTACAGAGCTGAGGCCAGTCGGTGTCGAACTATTTCCTGATAACCGTAACTTCCGGAGGAGGCGTATTACGCGATCGCCTTGTCACTAATGAGACCAGAAGCCTTATGACATGACTCAAATGACATGACTCAAAACACAGAAAAGATCGGACATGTACACACAGCCTTGTTCGCTGCGGTTTGGGGGGGGGGGCGTTAGTGAGGCTGTAAATGACGCGCTGCAGGCCTCTTTTTCAGCAATTGCTGTAGCGGATAAGCGGCAACAACTGGTGGAAAATGACTGATATAGACGTTACAATATATTCGTGTCGCTTGCCGGAAAAAAAAGCGGATTGGCTCCGCACCAGACCCACTCCCATTGACACGCCCCGTCATCTGCAGTGAACGCGAATGTGATTGTCTCCTGATTCGGACGCGACGCCCAATCACGAAACTGCTGGGTTTTTTATCAGTGACAGTTTTTTAGACAACGACATACGTAAACCGCAGTGCCAGCACTTATTCGTCCCACCTTTCACGATGACTAAATTTTCTGAGCAAGCTGGCTCGAAGAGCCGTAGCATTTGACTTGTGAGCCCTAATTCTCAATCTCAGTCAGCGCATTTTCCAACAACCAGTTGCGAAGGGACCCGATACCAAGTTTCCGTAGTGAACATGATGGCAAGCTGCCAATGCTCGCAGTCAACGTTAGCGAATAACTGAAAGTGAGAAGCAGAGAAGTAGAGCGTTCTGCTATAATTAGGAGCATCGCCGTGTGGCATATTGCGTTTCTGCGTCCTTTACCTGTGGGTGGAGTCCCATATAGTATCTGGTTACCCCTTCCCCCACCCCAGCCCCTTTTTTTCGCGTATTCGAGTGACGAAAGTGGAACATTCTAACAGCTCCGGGGGCTGTTCGCCTCGCACATGGCAAGGAGGGATCCTCGAAGGAAAACGCATATCCTGCCTTCAGGGGCACATTCTACGCTGGTAACCTAGGTCATCTGCGGCTTCCTCATTGTGACCTTACTCCCTATTATTCACGAGTGGCTCACCAGTGAGAAGGTCGCGCATGTTCAAGTGGCTCCGCCCAGATGATCTGCGTGGAATGTGCCTTTTGCCGGTCGTTGTGTCATTTGGATTACTTCTAGTGTTTTGATAAAGGAAATGTCGACTGCTAGTTTTCAACACCATCTGTTCTACTTTTTTATCACAGCACCACGCTCTTTCGTTTAATGAATGCAGTTTATGTAGCAATCTTTCCTCGAGCTTCTTTCAGTGTCTTTGTGAAGGGAAGCACATTAGGTTCGATAGCTTGCACCTGGAATGTGATGGATTTATTTTGAACAGCAGTGTTTTAGTCTTTAAGACCCTTGCAGATCTCCGTTCCAAAGATATATTGCTGGTAATTTCGTAATCGGTCAGTGCGGTGTCAAGAGCCAGGAACCCACCCATTGCTGCGTTTCTCCCTAGAGTGGCCGGTTCGGGTAGAAAACAACCAATTGTAAAAGAGCGACACGAGCCGGTTCACTCTTTTGACACCACCCGCCGAATGGCGACATACCCTCTAACTAATATATATTTTCTGGTGGACAAAAATTATCAATTTATTCTGACAAGGGAAGGATGGTAGGTCGAAGTGGCCATTTGAAATGAAATGTATACCGGCTGGAAGGTCTTCGGACGGGAATTACGAAACCGTCTTCCATATCTGCTGCGGACCTCCCAGAACGAAGTTACGGAGCTTTTTTGGGGAGAATCACTACAAATTGGCGGCGTAAGGCTGACGAGATCGTGGCAGCATGGCCGAGTGGATACGTCGTAGAGCTCACGGATGCGTGGTCGAGGGTTTGGATCCTTGATGCGTGTGCTCTTTTGCATTTTTTCGAAAGTGGTCCCTGTGCACTTCAAAGCTGTTTTGCATAATACTTGTCCCTGATAATGTCGTTATAAATTTCTGAACTGATGGAGCCATTGCGAACCATTCCATAGAGATCACTTCTGGCTGTTGTCTTCTTCTTTCTTTGATTTGAAAAGCATACACAACAAAAGTGCATTCCAAAGGAAGATTTTGCCTTCAAATGACTTTATTCTCCAAACGACATGATGGGAAAACGAATTGCGTAACGCACGAAAAGTTGTGCACGAAGCATGAGGTATAGTGGGAAAACGCTCCAAATGAAGTGGTGTTTGACGTGAGCAAAGGTGCTGCTGAAGATCGCGATGGGCAAAGAGCTTCATTTACCACTCACATAATGTTGAATTATGTCTATCTCAAAGTGTTTTCGTATCTGCTGGAAGTTTTCGGCTCGTATGACAATCTCTTCAGCCGGAGGTGATCTCCATGAAATCGTTCGCAATGGCTCCATCAGTTCAGAAACACTACGTCACGACATTATCAGGCACCAGAGTTATACAAAATAGCTTTGAAGTGCACAGGGGCCACTTTCGAAAAAATGCAAAAGCGCACACGCATCAAGGATGGCGCAAAACCCGTCAACCACGCATCGCGTGAGCGTTTACGACGTTGCACTCGGCCCATGGCTGGCACGATCTCGTCAGCCTTTAAGCGCCGCCAATTTTGTAGCGTAATCTCCGCGCCTAAAAACCTCCGTAACGTTCTTGCTGGGAGTCCGCGCAGTTTATGGAAGGACGGTTTCGTAATTCCCGTCCGAAGACCTTTCAGCCGGTATACATTTCATTTCAAATGGCCACTTCGACCTACCATCCTTCCCTTGTGAGCTGTAATGGGAAACGGGTTTTTTTTATAAAAATGATCTGCTCTGGGATTCAGAAATTACATTTTCTATTCTTTAATCGTGGAACAATCGATATACAGAACAAAGGGATCATTTGAGCATTTGGCGGCGGCTTCCGCGCCTGCTTGGAGGGCGAGCATTCTGCACTACCGCTAGCTCCTTTTTTAGTTCATGCTGAGTAACTGGGGTCAGTCTTGTAGACTCCTGTGGAGGAACGAAATCGTTCAAGTGAACCCATTGTCGCAGGACTTTGAAGGTCTCGACAATACGGCCTGTACAAACTTATCTAAATACAATGTCACAGCCAAGCTGCGCCGAAAGTCTTTTACCATTAGTGGAGCACGTCTAAGGCGCTCGCATAACACAAGTAAACACGTAAACTTAACCCTAGTCAAGTCAATTTAAGCCTCACTCCACGTTGATTGTGTGGGTGGGCTCATTGGAACACCCTCTTTCCTCAGTGCTTTAGAAATAGAGGCATTTCAGTAAAGACGACTGAATGGTTCTCGTCTTCAGTCTTCACACAGCTCTCCGCCCACCCGATTATCGCGGAATAATCTTCAAGCCTCCCGCTACTTCAGTGCTGATTGAAATAACATCAAATTTCTATATGAGCGAAGTTTCTATATTGGACAGTTCCCTCAAATCTTGTATGTGATAGGGTGAATTGCCTTTGATTCTGATTGGAAGTGGGTGGGCGCAATCCTAGTAGGATCAACTGGTATTTATTACCTCATGACCTTGTTAAATAGGTAATAAACGAATCACTCTCACGATTTCCTCTTATGGTCAGCAAGAATGGCTGCGGCAGTTAGGCGTAAGAAATAGCAAGGGTAAGTAGGAAACTCTGGTGATTGTCAGATAGAAAAGGTTGAAGCGTTCGGACTTCGCGCAAACGCGCAACCTTTGCCAGCCTCCTTTAGTACAGACAGAAATGACCCATAGACGGGTATCGATCGGCTCCGGCCCCTAATGTTCTGATGGCGAGAGAGTATTGGAGAACAGGAAGGCACGCGTTGTCAAACCTCACAGTCGATACCCAACTATTCCTCCATACTCTCTCAAAGTAGTAGGGGCCGACGCCGATCGATACACGTCTATGGCTCGCTTCCATCTATAGTAAGGGAGTGCGTGCAATAGTAGCGAGTTGACGCTCGTTACAGCGCTTCGTCGCGCGTCATTGCGAACTCTGGAAGCTGCATTAGCGGTGAATGTCGCATATCGGTAGAAAACCGGTAGTGATGCACATCTCCAGCGATCTCTGACGGTAGGTTGCCTCACTGTTAACCCTTTTCTTTGTGGTAAGAAATGCTCATCGACGTTACCATAAGTGTGGCTAGGCTCGAAATACTGGTTACACGCCGCAAAGCACATTCACGCGGCTGGAAAGGGAATTTGGTGTTCTTTTCAAGCTGGGGGTTGGTCACTGTACCAGGCCAAAGGTCAGTTGAATCGTTGAATCGTGAAATGAAGAAACTAACTTTTTTGTCACGACTGACTCTTATTTCGCATATGCCACAGTTCCTCACAGATCTCTTCATCTGAAAGTTCACGCAATTGATGCCAGGAGGAAATTCAAAGGTTATGCCAAAAGTTCTTTTTTACCTCACAAATTTGTCCAGCAGTTTGCCAGTGGTGGTTTCTTGCCAGTTCAAGAGCGTTAGCGTTAGCCACAATTATAATTACTCTGAAAAGATTTTGTTGAACTCGTGCGTACAAAAGGCGTCATCTGCTAAGCTTTTCCTACTACTGAAATAACTCAGCAAACCTGCCGTGGAAATTGATAGAGGTGGGAGGTGAGACGGTCAGAAGTCCCCCTGATGTCGCTACGTAGCACCTACGATAACCGCGCGCGACGAAGTACCGTAACCAAGGCCAGTCGCTCTCTTTGGAAAGGTTCGAAGGCACACTCGCAACTACCTTACAGGCAGGACTCTCCCATGTGAAAGGTGGGCAGGTCCGTGGCCGCACTAGGGGTATCACCTTCATGGGTCGGAAGTGCGGGCGTCGTAGTGGTCCGCTAGAACGCGTGGTACTGTGGGCCATGTTAGTCTCCCGCTCTCCAACTGCCCATTGTGGGCTGCTCTACGCTTCATTGTTGGCTTTCTTTTCTGACATCTCACTGATATTACGCTGTTATGGCCACCCGCCATCCGTCACCTGCGGTTTACCCGCAGTGCTCAGGTCTCTTTGCGGCGGCTTTCTGTATCCCGCCCAACTAAAAAAAAACGGGGAGAGCAAGGAAGTAACAAAAGGATGACCAGAGGCGAGCCCTATTTTGACACTTTCTTCAGCCTCTTTCTCACTGTTGAGCCAAACAGCATCCATGAATCCTTTACTTGTGCCTAGAGCCCACTACCAACATTTTCCGATGGCGGATCGGATATTGCAACCATTCATCTCGAAAGGTATCGGACCCACAGAAGAGCTCTTTCCGATTAGAAAAGTAAGCCCATCGGAGGAGCTATGAAAATTGAGGGCATCGTATTGTAATATGGTGAGATACTACATGCGCAGGATTACACACTAGGGTCGTTATCGCCGAAGTCAGTCGAGGCGTGACGGTGGTGCGTCGTTTTCGCGCCAGCCCCTTTCCCGCCGCTCACTGGACATCCGAAGCCGCAACAATCAATGGAAAACGAACAGACCCTCCCCTCCTCCCGACTGGTTTCAGTGATAATGGCTGTACCTAAGTAATTGTCATGAACACGATGCCTGGTTGGATGCTTCTCACCGCGCGCCGTGACACTGAGGACTTCCAACGCAAAAACCTTCCAGAGTCTATTTACTGGCTTGGATGAAAGGTTCCCATGGAGGGGGGGGGGAAGGGGGAAGGCCAATTTGAGAATGAACATTAGAAACCCCCTGGAACTGATGCTGCCTGAGAGTGGGCAGGCAGTCCCTATATGACAATGAGAGTACAAAAATCCGCAGCCGAGCGCCAGCTTATTGCACGTACCAACGCGTAGATCCAATCCCCTCCCCACTATTGCCAAACGAAGCCTGGGTGGCGAGGCTACGTGACCAACAACCACTTTGTTCTTTCCTATGTTTGGAAAAAATGTACATGAACGCACTGAGGAGCCGGCCTTGATACGGCTCGGAAGAATTCAGCCAGTCTTCTCAGATAGTCTTCAGGAGATTCAGATTTCGGAAGTTCGTTCATAAAAGGTCTGTATCTATCGCAAATCGGGTAGCCCAGTTCTCTGTACTGAAATTGAACTCTGCATTTAAATAGCTTACACGATTAATGTCACAACATGGTTCTATGACACGTCGTGACCCAAGTGATTCATTCGTGGGCTCTTCGGATCAGCGCTTGCGAATCGCTCCTACACTAATCGTTGCACCCTTGCAGATGCACGCTCTGAACGTGAGTGAAACACCACTCAAACGGCGCAACGATTAGCGGTGGAGCGCGGTTGTTTGTAGTCGCGCGGCTGAATCACTCGACTCGCCAAGTATAAATGCAACCTAATTGTGCTTGTTATAGATAAGGATAATTTGAAGAAGTCCCGAA